GGCAACTGCACACTACAGCTCCAATCCAGCACTTTTCCAGTGCTAAAAAGAACAGCAAAATGCTACTCCTAATTAGAGTGGCAAAAAGCCACCCTTGCCACCATGGTGGTGGCTTTTTGGAGATTCGTTGGTGCAGTGCATCTAAATACTGCACCAAAAACATCCCCTTTCACCACCTGCTATGCAGTCAGGCAGGTGGTGTGACACTGGTGTTGGGGCAGCATTGGGCAGCACCATGCCCCTACTTAGCCCCGAGGCCAGTGTTTAATGCCAGTCTGTTTAGGCCTTGTGTGAATTTTGCATGTGCGATTAATGCACATGTGTCTTATGGGTCAAACTAGATGTGCCATTGAATAATACCTTTCAGTTTCTTTCTTGGGATTTATCACCTTTCCTTTTTAAAAGAAACCCCCACATAATCAACTGCTGCTCTAGCAGATTGAGATACAGATTAGGACTGCAATATGTAGAAAGACAAATTTAATTATCACACCATGCCATGTAGGGATGGTAATTCTAGATTTTCTCATTTCCAAGAGATATTGGGGAAAATCAATCCACTTTTCTTCCTGTCATGTTGAAGAGACTTGGGAATTTGGGAAACTGCACAACTTTCTGAAGAAAGCTAAGCTACTTTGCAAAAACCAGTATAGCTTTCCAGAAAGCTGTGCCACTTTCCCAGGAAAGTTATGGAGCTCTCCAAAATGACAGAGGTGGGAAAAGCCCAAAACAGAATGTTGTGCAACTGCATATGTTGCACAAAGTTAAATGTTTCATAACTTTTTGTTCAACATGTGCATAATTTTGTTGTGCCAAAAACAATAAAAGCTTCCTGCAGGAAGCTTTTTGGGTACTATATTGATTCCCACAAATATTCCCAGATCACTAAACACCTCATTTAATCCCATGTCACCTGACGGGAGACATGATTGGCAGAGTTTCTATCAACTTAGAAAAAAATCATCAAAGCCAAGTAACAATGTTTTTATTTTAATTATGACTTGGATGTAATATAATTTCATGCCACAGATCGCCAATTAATGGCCCAAGACTAGCTGATCTGTTCTTTTGGAAGGGGAATTTTGTGTTTTTCTGTTCTCTCTCATCTTCCCCCCACTCTTCTCTCAACCTCTTCTTGCTGTGCTGTTGTGTTTTTGTGACATAAACAAAATTAAATGAGAAATGTAGCATAGCAAAAATTAAATGTTTCATATTTGCCCAAGGATAGATTGGGTAATGGTCTTAGAGCTCAAAACATCACAGACTATTAAATAATATGTCTGGATGAGAATTCTTAAAAATAAGAGGTTTAGTCTTCAATGCTAATTCAGCCTACAGCTTTTTATGATTATTATTCTCAGCAGTTCCCATAAGCATTAAACTGGACAACTTGGAAGGTAATGCAATGCAAATTGTAGCAAAACAAAGCATAATTTGTTTTATTCTCTTCTCTTTTATCATATGGGTATATGGAAAATATCCTGATTTTCTGTGAAGGATACAATAGGAATACCTCTGCTAGCATACCAATAATGAGGAATGATGAAATTTGTAGTCTAACAACTTGGAGGGCCACACAAACCATCAATTGTTGAGACCAGGAGTTCTCAACCTTGGGTTCTCCAGATGTTTTGTACCCTAACTCCCAGAATTCCACACCATGGTCCATATTGGCTAGTGTTTTTGGGAACTGATGTCCAAAGTAGCTGATGGTCCAGAGGTTCAGCAGCACTAACTTAGTCAATCCAAGTAATGATTCTGTAGCTATGGGAGCCACAGGGCAGTGAGCAAACTGAGCCATATCTGACAGGTTTAACCATCCCATGAAAATAGATCTGGAATTCTTCATTACTCTAGGCAGAAAATGTTCCTTTTCAGTTAGCACTGTGCTGAAACTCAGCCTTTTATTTTATCCTAAAGTTCAATTAAAATCAATGCTTATGTACTATATGGCTAGTAGACCTAGTCTTCCCCTCTGTACAGGAGAGAACATGTAATTACCCTCTTCTGTGTGATAACCAAATTTTTGAAGAGGGCTGTCCTGCTTCTGATTAAATATACCTGATTTCTTGAACACTCCTTTGTACTTCATGTAGGAAAATTTCCAGAGGACATCTGGAGGGAGAATTACCCTTGCCCCCTCTGCAGTTGCAAACCCATGCTTTAAATGTTATTCTGTGGGTGCAGACATGATCAATTGTTGTATGTGAGGGGCTCATGACTCCATCACACATCACAGAATTTTCATCATTAATCTTTGGAATCCTTCCTAAACAAATAAATAATATTTTAAAACTTGACAGAAATGAGGAGCTCAGGAGAAATAATTTATTTTTTTTAAAGTGCCCAGAACACAGAAATGTAAAATAAGAGAGCTTCAATTTCTTAGGGGGGGGGTTGCAGACTGCCAGAAATAGTGCAAATTGAGTCCACTTTTAGGGTTAGGGTTAGGGAATCATGGGAAATGTATTTTATTGTGGCACCAGAGCTCTCTGACAGAGAAGGCTCAATGTCTCAGAAAAAAAAAAGGAATTCCCATGATTCCCTAGCACTAACACTATCTCTAAAAGTGGACTCAATTTGCACTATTTCTGGCAGTCTGCAACCCCTCTTAGTCATCTATTTTAAAAAATATGGAAACCTCCCATGCTAATTTGCAAAATTAATATAGAACATGTTATGTAAGTGCATCAGAGTGTTGAAAATGTAATTGCACCATTTTTGCACATCTAGTAGGTGGGCCACAAATACTACTGTAATCTATTAAACACCTAATTAGTTGCTTCAAGATGGAGGAGTCATGGGAAGGTTTCTGACTGTGTTGTATTTAATAATATGTAAATGAACTAAAAGTTTGGCATGGTTACCTCTCTCCTGTTGTTTCAAACTGTTTGACAAACACAAATGAAAATGCTAAGGGAATCATTAAGGTATTGCTTTATGTCTTAGCATTTTGGTGAATTTATTTTTAAAACAGAAATCATGTTGCCTCTCTAGAACTTTTCAGGGGACATAAGCTTCTCCTGCCAATTTTGTTGCTGCTGAACATCCCGCTATGAAAATTGTGTAGCAACAATACTAAAGCTTACCTGTAAAACAGAAATCCCAATGATTTCCCTTAAAAAACAGATACCCAAGGACAGTATGTCCTTTTCCTGATTGCTCCCATGAGGCTATGAAATGAGTGTTATATAGCAGTAAATGGAGTTCCAAAGGGGAAGCATTGTGTGTTGGGGCTCAGAACCCACCTCTGTCTTCTATTTAGCAATTCTTGAATTGATTGTTTTCTTTTAGCCTCACCAGTTTGTTTTTTGGGAATTGGGTATTTTGCAACAGAGCATATCCACCATGGCAGACCCATATCATCTATTTCAGAAGAGTGTCCCCATCACTCTCTTAAGTCCAAATTTGTCCATCAGATTTGATTGGTGACTCCTGATCTACTCTGATGCACAATTACGGGTTCATTCACTCAAAGATGCCAAAAATTGAACATGCATGCAAAAAATGTGCTTGGCACTGAGCTATAGCCATCCCGCTACCCAGTACAGTGCACTATAATTTAACTTGATATCAAAAAATATAAGCAGTTTTGATGGCTGCATCTACACTGCAGAGTTTATGCAGTTTGGCACCACTTTTAACTGCCATGGTTCAATGCTATGGAATTCTGGTATTTGTAGTTTTGTAAGATATTTAGCTTTCTTTGTCAAAGAGCTCTGGGGCCATAACACACTATAAATCCCAGGATTCTATAGGATGGAGCCATGACAGTTAAATCAGTGTCAAACTTCATTAACTCTGCAATGTTCAATGTATACATTGCAAAAGGCGCAGAAGATCAAGGATGGAATGTAGCCTTTATTAATCTGATGTTCCACAGTTGTGTTGGATTGCAACTACCATCAACCACCACCACTCCCTGAAAAAACACTGACTTTGTATGAGTTATTTTGAATCTGTTAATCTCCTGTTTGGATCATTGCAGTGTACTTTACATAGGTTGTGCAAAAGACAAAGAGCCTGAGGGAAAAGCAAGCCCGACATCTCACTAGAAGCCACAATGACAAACTGAGGTTCTTATGCTATGGGCATATCATGAGAGATTATGGCTGAGATGCAAGTAATTTGCAACTAATTACAAGTTACTTCCAAGTTCTTTGTTTTTGAAGGCATATTTTTCTCAGCCAGAGAACTCTGGGGCAAATGCAAAATCAATAAAATAAATTCAGACAGCATTGGGTTGAAGAAGGCTGACTTTCTTGCTAAATAAATCATAAGGTGAATGTTTTTCTCTAACTCAACATTCTGGGTGTTATGCTATGGCAATGCAAGGTACAAATGGGTTTCTCTTCTAGGAATGGGAAATCTGATTCTTGAGCATTTGGTGTAAGGCAGATTAGCCCCATTCTGTTGAAAAATTATCTGCTTTTGAAAGAGGTATTGCTGTTTTTCAAAGAAGTATATTGACAAATTGTGATGAAATATTGAAAATGTGTGGTGTAAATAGAAGGCATCTCTCTTCATCCTCACTGACAATGTAACATATCCAGCAAAATACTCAAATAGATGCCTCAGTATGAAATGACTGCTCCAACTTGACAAACAGAGATGGGGGCCTGAGTAGATATGAAAAGGGAAATAGATGTAAACAATCCAGAAGAAGTTGATGAAAAGAGGAGAATGTCAGCATGGCTAACTGAAGCTGCATTTATACTGCAGAATTTATGCAGTTTACCATGGCTGAATGCTACAGAATTGTAGAAATTTTAGTTTTATGAGATATTTTGCCTATTCTGTCAGAGAGCTCTGGTGCCACAACAAATTACAAATCCCAGGTTTCCATAGTATTGAGCCATGACAATTAAAGCAGTGTCAAACTGCATCCATTATGCAATGCAGATGCAGCCTGAATTAAGGATGCAAACTGAACAAAATGGGGTGAAATAAAAGTATTACGAGAGCCAGATTGGTGTAGTGGTTTGTGTATTGGACTGTGACTCTGAAGATCAGAGTTCGATTCCCTTCTTGGCCATGAGGCCCACTGGATGATCTTGGGCAAGTCACATCCTCTCAGCCTCAAGTGAAGACAATGGCAAACCTCCTATGAACAAATCTTGCAAAGAAAACCTTATGTTAGATTGACCTTAGGGTCTCCATATGTCAGAAACTACTTGCAACATCAATGCAAACACATGATTAATGAGAGTGAGCAAATTGAACATAGACTCATATGTAACTATTCCATATGAATCTTACTGGCAGACACCCCTCCCTGAGTAAATTTCACAAGGTTAATGTAACCTCAATGTTATTTCTTTATTTTTCTTCCCACAAAATTCATTTGATGCTTCACACCAAACACAAGTACCAAATTTGTTTGAAAAGTTCAGTTCTGGTGAAATTCAGAAGAAGCTGTAATCAACTGTTACAATGCGGGATGGGTGAGAATTTCATTTCAGGTTGTTTTTGAAAGCAATCCACTTAAATTTGCAAATTCCCTTCATATGTGGAATAAACAAAACTTGAAAAAATAATTAAAACATTGCACATATTTAAATAGGTGGTCACTCAGCACATGATGGGAGTAGTGGAACATATTTAAGCACTATTTGTGTGAAGAAAATGTGGATGGAATCTCCCTATTAGGTTGGAAGATCTAGACAAAAAGGAAGGAGACTGTCCTATAGAGTGGCCAGGGGTACTACTTCACTTTAAGTCATGGAATGGCAAGAGACTTCCTCAGGTTGGACTTCCATGACAGAGCTGACTAAATGGCAACCCAGTATCTTGGATTGCTCCCAGGACTCTGGTGATTTGACCAAGGGTGATTGGGGAGGAGGTCAGGATTAGACCCCATGCCTCAGCTTAACCCACTTCAGCTTTTTCCCTCTTTGCATTTCACAAGTTTAAGATTGTTTAAATAGTTAAAAGTTAAATAAGTTAAATGGCCCTGTTCAACCCATGTATCCTCTCTTTGGGGGGGATGCAGACAGGTGGCCATGGACCATCCTGGGAAGTGGCAGATTGGGGCTGAGGCTGCCCCATGCCTCAGCCCCAATCTTCCCTTTCGCCGCCTGGGAAAGGAGTGTTAACGCTCCTTCCACAAGTCACAAAAGGGGTGCCTCAAGAGGTGTCGTACGCCTCTTTGGTGTCTCTTCCAGCTCAGCGTGTCCGGACGCTGAGCTGGAAGGACGTCATCAGAGCGCCCGTCATGTGGAAGGGCCAGTGCTCCAATGATGTCCTCAGGAAGGGGATGGGGAGCCCAGCGTCCAGCTGCCCCTCCCCTTCCTTGGCTTGAAGATGGCACAAAGTGCTGTCTGCTAAGCCCCTTTATTTCCAAATGAGTGTCAGGAATGAATTAAAGTTAAATCTCTGGGAACATGAGTTGTTAACCCTTCCATGGCAAGCAAGTATATTTTGGTCCTTTCCTTTCTGGAATTAGGTTGTTCTTTCATGCATAAGTGTTATGTCATGCAAAGACTGGTATTTGACCTAATCTATAAAGTGCCTTTGTGCACTGAGCAGAGAGTGTGGGTATGAACACATATTTTTCCATTGGTTCAGAGAGAAAGTTGTAACTTTGAGCAGGCCTGATAAATGTATTGTATAATATTGGAATAATGTATTGTATAATATTTATTATTAAACATGATACTCCCAAGCATCCACACTCATATAGGATTATATTTATTGATCAGAGTGTGTGTCTTTCTTCAGGCTCTTATATACTGAGGACATAAATTCTAGGGTTTCTCTACTTAAAATACAGGTTGAGTCTCCTTTATCCAGTATCCCAAAATCCAAAATACTCCAAAATCCAAAACTTTTTTTCATAGGTGGCTGAGACAGTGACACCTTTGCTTTCTCATGGTTCAATGCATACAAACTTTGTTTCATGCACAAAATTATTAAAGATATTGTGTATAAAATTACCTTTATGCTATGTGTATAAGGTGTATATGAATCATAAATTTCTTGTTTAGACTTGGGTCTCATCTCCAAGATATTTCATTATGTATGTGCATATATTCAGAAGTCCCAAAATGAATCTAAAATCCAAATTGTTTTAAGTCCCAAGCATTTCTGATAAGGGCAACTCAACCTGTATTGTATGTTCTTCTTTAACAATTTGCCTTCTGGCCTTTTGATTAAACCCTGATGTTGCTCAGCTACCCATGTCCCAATAATCATCTGTGAAATGTTAGAGGGTATGGCTCACATGGGGAAACAACTGAAGAGAATCCTACCATGGTGCATTGCAGTCAGATCATGTGTCTGTCTCTCTTTTCTGACTGGGTGGACAATAAGGAGCAGGGGATAGGCTGATTTTATATCCAAGCGTGTCCAACATAATGACCCTGTCATTGAGGAAGCCCTCTTAAGCACCCCATAAAACCTCATGGTTTTTCAGAGACATAGCCATTTTAATCTGAAATATCAGTTTGCAAAGGGATCTTGTAGCCCTTTTAACTGTGTGAAAACTTTAGTAGGGCCTGTATGCATGGGACAAAAGGGCCATGTTCCCCCTGGCCTGGCATCATCCTGTCTGACTCTAGGCTGGGATTTTTCCAGTCTGGACACTGATTTGGCAGTCCTGGACCAATCCCAGAGCAAGAAAGCCTTAGCACAAGTCAAAAAGACCTGCTGTTTGCCACAGTTTCATGGGAAATACATGAAG